GCACACTGTCATGAAATACAAAGTAATAAAAGAGTTATACCCAAACCTGGTCAGTCCTTCCATTTCTTGAAACTTGCACACAGACTGAAGAAACCCACTCAGCCTTAAAAAGGTCGATCATTTTGCTCTCCTAAAATTTCATCTCTGGAAGTGCTTTCTTTCCCGGTCTCTGTCTTGCTCTCTCTCGCTCCCTCTCTCTCTGTCTCTCTCTCTCTCTACTTCTACCGGAGAGCGTTTTGTTTCCCTTTTCCTGTTTCTGCTGCTGGGTGAATGCAAAATACACAATTTGAAGGGATTTTTCTTTTAGTTTAACAGTTGGAAATCTAAAATCTTGCTCTTCTGAATGGCTTTATATGCCAGTCACTCAGTACATAACGTTTGCATAAAGAGGCAAATACAGAATCAAGAATTCTGCTTTTATAAAGCAAAAACAAAATAGCAACAAAAACCACCTTTTACTCCATCTCTGAACCTCTTCCTATGTTATTTATTTAACTATTAAGCACTTACCCTGAGATGTGCCATAAATGCCTTATTCCAAATGTATAAGAGCCAACCACATCTCAACTGAGAATTAAACAGTTTTAATGTCTTCAAATCCATGTTCCTGCTCCCAACCCTAATACAGACAGTCACTGGCAGCGGTACAATAGTTCTAAACAGCAGACATCTGATTCTTGACATTTAAAAATAACAATATTGGAAAAAAAGGGAATCTTTTTTTTTTAAACTACAAACAGCTTGTGAGTGAGCACATATCACCAATCGATTGTATTAACCGAAACTTGTAATGATTTCAAGCTAAAATATTTGATTTTTAAATCAATGTCAGGCAGAGGCTAAATACCAATAGACTTCCATAGATCCACAATTTTCTATAGAATCACAACAATGGCTTACATTCATTCTAAGTGATAATTCTGCAACGATAGAATCAGAAATTTGCTAGTATTTAGATTCTACTATTGGTGAATATTAATTTAACCCTTGTTAGTCTTGAATTAAATTAGGGACATAATCAGTCTTTTCATTGCCAGTGTAATTTCATATCCATGTCAATTCCATGCACACATATGGGGTCAAATGCACACATGCAAACTGCTACAGAACAAATCAAGTAATAAAAGCATGCATTTAGTCTTATTTCTGAAGCATATTTGGAGTCAGACAGACTTTGTGTCAGCCTTTCCACTTATAATCTGTGTGTTTCTGGGCAAATGATTAAATCTTTTGTGCCTCAGTTTTGTCATCTATAAAACTAAAGTAAATAATAATACTTTACAATGTTGTTTCAAGTACTAAATGAGATACTTATGGCTCTGGCACATACAGGATATCTGATATACATTGCTTTCTATCTCTACTTCGTATTTGGTGAGGATAGAGATTGGGCATGGTAAATAGAAATAATACAAACCTTTTAGGCAGACAAATCAGCCTGGATCCACTGTGTTGCCATATACTAGCCATGCGTCCTTGGGCAAGTTACTTATCCTCATTCACTAAATCTCAGTTTCTTCAACCGTAAAATGCCTCTAGAGCAGCGGTTCTTCAGTCTGTGTGCAAGTTTCAAGTCATGACCCCTTTGTAACCATAAATATACATCGCAGCATCAGGAAGGTTGAGAACCACTGCTCTAGAGGTTTAAACAGCCAGTTAGATGACATTTGAAAAACATCTACTTTTAGGCATTTGTCAAATGAGTCCCAGGCCTTTCAACTTTCCAAAATTGCTCTAATCAGTACTCTGACACACAGTAACTTCGAAATTTCTAATTGTGGACTGCAATCACAGATCTTCTAGACCAAGTGCCTATTTTCTAGCAGAAGAAAGGGCCAAAGAGCTGAAATGTCAAGTCACTAGTTAGTGGCAAATAGGGACTAGGATGCCGGTAAACTAGTAGAACTAGTGCTTTGCCCACTAAAGCCTGTGATGTTGAAGGTAAACACATTTGTAAATCCAGCTTCAATCAATATTAGCTGGCAATTAAGGCAATATAACTGAAGAAAAAAATGGCAAAGAAACCCTCTCTGTTTCCCCAAATTTGCTTTGAAGAACGAGTTTATGTATGAGATATTCCACGGGAGCTGGCTGGAGCTGGCTCACCCTAGCTTTCTGAGCAGAGGTTCCACAGCGTGGCAGAGACCCCCTCCTTTTCCTAGAAGCAATGAGCAGGAGCCCCGTTCTCAGGAGATTTTTCTATTGTCCTCCTTCCCCAAGGGAGGGTACAGCTCTTTCTTCTCTCCCTTTACAGGATTTCTTCAGCTTCGGCAACTCACTGGGAAGAGCACACTGTTCTCCATTTAGTTAATTGACCAACGTACTACCCCCTGTGTTGTAATACAGAATGTTTTTTTTTCTTTTAGTTTGAAAGCCTTGCATAGAATGCAGACTTAATAAATGTCAATACCTATTAAATGAGATGTGACATAGAATTCAGTTTATATTTAAAGAGTGAACTAGCTTGGTACAGGGATAATTATTGTCCAATGCAGGCTAGAAAACGTTCATTTTTTTTTCACGCTTTCAGTAATTTCAGAATTAAAAACAAAGGATCTTTGGCCATTAAAGTCAGATTAGCAATTACTCTGGGGAAGAAGGGAAGTTAAATGGGATTGAAGAAAGTACGTGTGTGATCCATTACAATTAATGTTTTCTTTCTTTGGTTGGTTGATATATAAAATGGGTGCTTGTTTCATTTTAGTTTTTTCTTTATACCTTTCTGTAAGCCTCAAATATTTCACTAAAAAGAAGCTGGCTTAAAGAAGGCAAATAATTTAAAAATAAAATTTCTAAGTCTTTACAATATGAAATACAATAATGCTACTCTGCTAAATCCTATATATAAATCTTTAAGATTTCATTTTCATTTTATGGAAGAACTTTAATAATACTATGTCTACTTTAAAGATTTTATTTTCTTCTTGCTCATTTTCATGCCCTTGAATTTGCAACTGTGCTCAAGCATATTAGAAAGACCTTGTCATCAAACAGATCTAAGTCTAAATCTCAGTCCTACAATGCCCAGGTCATGAGCTTTCTATCAGCTGATATTTCTAAGCCTCAGTTTCCTTTCTTATAAAAACATAGTATTATTACATCCATAATCTCATGATTTATTATGAAGATTAGGTGAACGAACATGAAAACATTTCCTACAGCGTCTAGCACACAGCAGATCTTCAGTTATCATCAGTTTCCCTCAGTCTTTCCTTATCTTCCCACTTTTCACTGCTACTTCAGATTTTGAGTTCAAAAAATGTAAAAGTCAAGAAAAATGAATTTAAGGTAGGAAGAACGTAGGCAATTATACAATCATAATGAAAAAATTTCATTACTAACAAAGGCTGCTATGAAATCCGTACATAGCACCCTTCTTTAAAGCGTCTGATACTTACCTAATCTCACCACTACTTATTTAAGTGCATGATTAAAAAAAATTGTTTTGTTTTTGCTGCTAGTCATAGAACCTTCACAGACAAAATGTGTCCTGCTCCGGGGCTTCTATCTCCTTACTCATCCTTTCTACAAGACAGGTGATCCTTATCAAAATACTTTCAGCAGTGATGAACTTTATGTGCTTACAGAATTTCTAGAGCTTTCAGTTAGAACCCTTAGAATGGTCATTTCTATAAATTAAGAGACTGCTCTAGTCCCACCTCTGCACGTGCTAACAGTGTAACCCACTAAATCTTTACCTTTCTTTGAGTCTGCTTTCTCATGTGGTAAGTGGGTTAATTGATCCCTTTAGCTCTAAAATTGTTACAGCTTTTGATAACTTATGAATGCCTTTAGTAACCTTAAGAGGAGATTTTTAGGCAAATACCTAAAAATCATGGGAAATACCAACCATGTGATTATGGGTTGTTTGTGAAAACTAGCCACATGCTGGTGGCTTCTTCCAAACTTCAGTCAGGGGCTCTGGCATTGCCCTTGCCAGGGGACTGCCTGCTTGGAGTATTTCCAGGGCTTGGTGGAGGCACTCCCAGGGGAGCAAAAAGACAAACTTCTCCACCGAAGAATTTTTCTTTGTATTTTCTTAAGATAGGACTGAGAAATGGGGATGGATATGTCAAGGCCTCCCGGAGGCCTCACTTTTATCAAAAGATGAAGGTCATTATTGTAGAAGGTTGTGTCTTGGGAAGAATTCTAATACTACAGCAAGGAGGGAGGGAAAAGACTTTCTCTGTATTTTCATGGAGATGTCAGCTGGTTTGGGTGATCTAGAGGGTAACAGAATGCACAGACAGCAGAGGGGAAGGGCAGCCTGCCTCGGGTCTGCTGAGCGAGTGTGGGATTCACACACTGACAGTAATTGTATTCTACTTCTCCAATCCCTCCCTTTCCTCCTCTTCTCCCATGTCCTGGGTCTCTGCAGCTGTGCTTGTCAGATCCCCAAACTGGCTTGTTCTCCACGTCCTCAGGGGTCGGGTCAAGCCTCATCCATATGCGCTAGACTCTGGAGGGGGCTCAGCTGGGGTGTGGTTAGAGAAGGTGAAGGCGATGACTGCCACTGTGTTCAAACTAATATCTTCAGGCCAGGATTTTAAAATTAAAAACAAAACAAAACAAAACAAAACACCTCTGAATAAATCTAATGAAACTCTTTCCAAAATTTAAAAGATCACTGTTTACTTTTGAAAAAAAAAAAGAAAGGTGGATTTATTTAAACATACTGTGTAGACCCTTTCCTCTCCTTCTCCATCCCATGATCCCTCAGACAAAAGAGAAACACAAGCCGTTAATAACCCCTTGCCTTCACGTGGGAGCGCTTTTCAAAGCACTTGTCTGTCTAGCGTCTTAAGATAACTGGGTGAACTTGGGAGCATTTGTTGCCCTGCGTTTTTCTGACGGGAGCCCTTAGGCACAGAAATGCTAGCTAATTTGCTCAGGTTTACACAGACGACTCATGGTAGAGCCAAGGTGAGATCCCAGGGGGAACGACCCACCCTCAAGTCAGGGGCTATTTCTAAGCATCCACCCATCGATGGAAATGGTACCTGCAGGTACTGGCAGGAACGTTCTTGCTGACACGACTCAGACTTCACCATGGCCTGGTCCATGTTGACTGAGGCTTTCTGGTAAACCTCCCGGGCTCGGCTCACGGTGAGTGTGGAGGACCAGGCGCTCTTCTTCAGGAGCGGGGCGTCCAGGTTGACCGGCAGGTTGGAGCAGGTGGAGCACTTGACATCGTTGTTACTCCGGGAGGCCTTGACCGCCTGCTCGCTGATGGTGTTGTAGGCCTCCATGAAGTACTGCGAGGCCGAGCGGTCGGGGCAGCGGCCCATGGTCATCACGCCCGAGGGCGCGTGGTAGATGCACATGTCACCGTCCAGGTTGTCGTCGGAGCTCCACCAGCCCGGGGAGGCGTTGGCGCGCGCCTTGGGCTCGGCCCGCCGCTCCTTGCTCTTGCTGCGCTTGCCATATCTCACCGTCTGCGACTCGTCGGGGCTGGCCTTGCCCCCGTTGACGCTGCCCTTGGACGGCCCCTCCAGGGAGTGCGACTTGGTGAAGAGCTTCTGCACCGAGTGCACCAGGTGCCGGATGCGGCCGGGGCTGTCGCTGCGGTGCTCCACGGCCGTGCGCTTGTACTGCAGCGTGTGGTAGCCATCCCGGTGCAGGGGCAGCTGCCGCTCGAACTGGTCCAGCAGGTTGGAGGGGATGCGGTTGGCCTTGGTGGCCAGGGTGCGGGGCACCAGGGCGCACTCGTCCTTCAGCTCCTGCTGGGAGGTGTAGTGCCTGCGCGGGAAGGTGCTGCTGGCCAGCGGGTCGCTGAAGGGGCCCACGCACTCGGCCTGGAAGGAGTTGCGCTGCGTGTAGTAAGGGTGGTCCGCAGGGTGGTGCTCCACGGGGCTCAGCAGGTATGGCTTGCGGTCGGAGTGGTGCGACAGCGAGTCACAGGTGGAGTCACAGGTGACCCCGTGGTGATGGCTGCGGCTGCCCGATAACCCTTTCATCGCTGATGGGGGCAACCGCCGGGGTCATGGACCCCCAGGAGTTAGGTTCCAGACCCGTCTTGGGCAAAAACCTGGGAGAATGAAGAGGAGGGGGGATGGTTAATACTTTCCTTGGAAAGCAGATACCTGCTTGCTTTTGAAAGTGCTATTTACTGCTGTTCGTTTCCTGGCAGAAGAAGAACTTATTACTTCTCTTGAAAGAGCTCTGTCATCTCTGTAGGGTGGGAAAGCTGACTCCACAGCCCAAAAGGAGAGAAGGTAGGGGAGAAGCTAGAAAACTTGGAAGAGGAAACCATATAAAATGCCAAATTAAGAAAAATTATTTGAAAGAGCAATTTCTGCTTCCTCCGTGATTCTAATAATTGGATGCATCTTGCCCTGGCTTCTCTGGTTTTCTTCTCTACTGCATTAAAGACAGCACCCGGGAAGGGCTCACTTCCCTTCAGAAGCCATTGCTGAGACCACTGGCAAAGAGAATTAGTTCCCCTCTTGTGCCTCCCAGAACCTACAGAATTGTTCCTACCAGAATTCTTCCAGTTTAAGTTCCTTGCAGGTTGGCCGGACTCTGAGACACCATTAAGTCCCCCTACTCAACACCCAGCCATGTTATAAGTAAGTGCTCCAAAAATGTAAAGGAAAATGTGACTAGAAGAGCGAGATGAGTTGAGGGAGCCAGTGGCACCTTCCCTCTTTAGGCTTTATCCTGTCTCCTGCTACACGCGTTCCCTTTAGAATTCTGGAAACAAATGCAGCACACAAAGAATCCCCCTGGGTTAACCGCAGCTGAAAAAAGTAAGGTACAGCAAATCAGAGGTGGAGGGAAAGTCTGCCCATGTATTTCTCTTCTTTTCTTTTTCAGATAGGGTACTGCCCTAGGCTAGAGTGCAGAGGCGTCATCATGGCTCACTGCAGGCCCAAACAGCTGGGCTCACATGATCCCTCCACCTCAGCTACCAAGTAGATGGGACTACAGGTACCACACCTGGCTAATTTTTCTATGTTTTGTGGAGATGGGGTCTCTCTATGTTGCTTGGGCTGGTTTTGAACTCCTGGCCTCAAGCTATGCCCTCTCCTTGCCCTCCCAAAGTTCTAGGATTGCAGGTGTCAGCCACCATGTCCAGACCTGCCCATGTACTTTTGACATTCCAGGGTCAAGAGCTTCCCCTAAACAAAATGAGAACAGAAGAGGAACAGATGAGTTTGAACTGGCTAATCTGAGGCTCATATATCTCCTTGTCCTGCCTTAAGGTTTCTTGTGAAATGTTCATAGGTGATATAACATGACCAAAGGTAAGGCCCCTTTGGAAGTTCCTGGGCATGTGCATGAAGGACTCTAAACTATCGTTCAGCTCAGTTTCCAAGAGAGTTAGTACTGAAAATCTCATGTGGGGATAACTCCGTCTGTTTCCAAGACCCAATCTTCCCCAAGCTTTAGGAACAGGGACTGCTATCCCACCAGGACAGAGTATTTTCTTTTGACTCCACCACAATGTTAGAACAAGCACCTGACCAAGTTCCTACTGATGGCCTAACTTTATATTAAAGCTTCTCATAACACACAAATTGTCATATTAAGAGGTGTCCTGAAAAGCCAATGTGACTTTCCAAAATATCACAGATGTCATTTCAGACATTCAGAGAGGGAGTGATAAATGATTTAATTAAAAGACAAAACAAAATAAGACACTCGCTTGGCCTCATGAAGAAAGACATGGATTTTTGAGAGGTCAGCTCTTGCCTATTCCATGGGACATACTGCGTCTGTGAGCTCATGACAATGTTGACAGCCTCCACCCATGTTTCACGAAGCTCTTTTCTTTCTCCTGTCTGCCAGCTTCTGGATTAAACATTCGAGACAACTATTGGGATTTTTTAATCAGTGGAGTCATTTGAAGTTGGTTCATCTACTCACTTATGGGCTCCTTAAGGGTAGAGGTTAAGTTTCACGCACACTGTACCTAGCAAAGTGCCATTCCAGCTGATAGTAGGGACTCAAGTATTTTTTCAGTGACTTAATGCAGTAATGCAAACTTTCCCAAAGTGGTTCGTACTGTGACTCAAGTAGCAGCTGTTCAGTGAAAACACGTTTGCAAGGCCAGGGACGGCTGCCCAAGAATCGAGGGGGGCCAATCCATGGGTATTCTAGGGACCAACGGTGTTTAGACCAAGGCAGCAAGCCTGCAGGCAAACACTCCTTCTGTACCCATTTACTTTCAACCTGGGACTCTCCACTATCCACCAGAGACGATCACAACTTTTGTAGTTCTACCTGCCTGGAAGTTAAAGTCTGGGAATGTGCCTGGCCTTATGACCACAGGATGCCTAGACAGGGGATGATCTTCCTGGTGGAGAGAGAGAAACTGACACTTGAAGAGACAAAAAGGAACTCAGGACTTAAGATACCTGTGGATCAGGAAAAACCTATAAGTGAGTACCTGCCCTGAAAAGAGTCTAATGAAAATGAAAAATTGGCTGGGCCCAGTGGCTCATGCCTATAAATTCTAGCACTTTGGGAGGCCGAGGTGGGTGGACTGCTTGAGCTCAGGAGTTCAAGACTGGCCCATCTCTACTAAAACTAGAAAAACTAGCCAGGCATTGTGGAGGGTGCTTGTAGTGCCAGCACTTGGGAGGCTGAGATAAGAGGATCATTTGAGCCCAAGAGTTTGAGGTTGCTCTGAGCTACAATGCCAGGGCACTCTACCCAGGGCAAAAGAGTGAGACTCTGTCTCAAACAAACAAACAAACAAACAAGACACCTTGGGACTGCTTTGTATGAAGTTATGATTCCAAGAGTAGGTTGGGGCAAGGAAGGATTTAAGAGGGTTAAATATTTGCATTTTAGCAAAACTGTGGCATAAACTAATGTCACGAAAAAATTCATATCATTAGGAAATCTCCCTCTATAAACCAGGTCCTACTGAAGATATTTTTCCCTCTCAAATATGAACTTAAAAATAAAAACAAAAACAATGATTCATTAAGATTATAATCACATAATAAATCTTGTGATTACACATAATAGAATCTTAATGTATAAAATAATATGGGATAATGCTTCAAAATTTCCTCCTGAAGCAGCTGGGTTTTGGGTAGATATTTTCTGCTAAATAAAATATGAAACTGGCAAGAGCTGAAAACATGAATTATACATATTTACTTCAAAATGTACAAGATTATTTTAATCAGATATTCAGTATTTAATTATCTTTAATATGTGAGCAGTATTTCATGTAAGATGATGTTACCTGAGGACAAGCAGAGCAAATGAAGAGCCTTTTTAGGGCCACTAATGATGAATTAAGTTAAATGATGTAACCAATGATGATTTCTATAAATCAGACATTCACACTGTGATTTTTACTAAAATTTAAGTAGGCTATTTTAAGCCTAATGACAAGCACCTATATTTTCTCAGAGGGTAACAAATTTCATCAAGGATAATTAAGTTAACTTTCCTCCTTCTTTACTTAGTATCTGTAAAAGGGATATTGACATCTTGATCCTTCTTTTTCTCTATGATGTAAGCAAATGAGCTCATAAAAATGTCAATAAACATTTTTAAAGGCTCAATTTGTTTTGCTGGTCAAGGCCAAATAAATGACTTAATACTCTGGCCCTTTCAATAAAAAGTTCTTATACTCTCTTCTACCTTCTTATCATTTTAGGAAGAAAACAGGTCAATTTGTGATTATAAAAGAAAGAAGTGGACTTCCTGGTAAGCTGAGGTGGGTGACCTAAATCCTAATACTATTGACAACGGATGGACACTGCTACAAGACCTGCTCTTCCTTTTATCTTCATTTTCCTCTTGCCTTACTCTTAAGCTTCCATTCTAAAAGCGACATTTCTCTCACTTTTTTCCCCCTCACCCTAATTAATGTTTATAAGTGGCATCCATGGGTCCCACTTGGTTCCACCTGTGCTTTAACCTACAGCTTTATTAGGAAGCGTTAGCTGAGCATCCCTGGTCTGCTTATTGCTGCAAAGACAACCAAACATATATTGTGAGTCCCTAAGGGCCAAAGGGCTTATGATGGATAGGGTAGGGATATGACCTAGCCATGAAGAAAAGAAATAACAATTCTTATCACTCTATGATGCTTGGAGGAGGAAGCTGCTAGCCCCTCAATTAGATTTTAGGTGACTATAACAACTTCTGAGAGTACAAGGGAAATTGCCTTTTATGCATGTTCTTTCAGCAAGGATGGAGAGTGTGTTCAAGAGGCTTTCATGAGGGTTTCTGCGACTACAGTATTATCTCTAATTTTTTTGTTCACTATGACTTCAAAGTTAAGTTTTTGCGTCCTCTTAAGTTCAATTTTACCATAGACCATCTGTCCTGACTTTTGGCTTGGAGATTTTGTTGACTTTATTGGTGACCATGAGATGAGTTCAGAGGATGAGATGCTGACTGTTTTTCCAGAGTTCCCACACCTGGAGCAGAAGCACTGCTGCCCAGATGATGACTAAAGCAAGAATAATCAAGCACTGTAAAGGAAATTCTCAAGGTGGGTAATTTATTAGACCTAAGGAAAAAACAAACAAACCACACATTCCAAGATGCTGACAAGGGAAAAACAGTCTTGCAAAGCTGGCAAATCCTTATATCATTTTGATTTCCATGCATGTCTTTATTTAGAGCTATAGTTCTTGATTTTTCTTTACGTGTGGAGAGAAGAGCTCTGAAGGCCCCCTGCCCTCCACCCTGTCTTACTCTCCGAGGACAGGTGATCATGACTTGCTTTAGAAAGAACAATGTAGTAGATACTGCCTGGGAAAACAGAGAGTTGTTTTATGGTTTGGGGAGACATCAGAAAGAGGAAATTTTCATGAAACTTTTTAGAGTCAAGTCACCTTTTTGGCTTCTGTCCACCTGCCTGCAGCTTGCTCATACCAGGTTATAACATTCAACTGAAGAGAGTATAAAAGATCCTTTGTTGAAAAGTACAAAGCGGCCCCCAAATAATGACTGTGTTCTCTAGTCTCCCTAGGTGTGCATA